ATTACAGTTAGAGAAGGGGAAGATTCCCCCAAAACAGGAGGCTCATTATCTTAAAACGATACAGAACTCAAGCAGTAAAAAAAAAAAAGTTGAGAAACTATTACTTATGGTTCCAAAAGACAGAGATCCTTCCCAAAAGTAATGGGCATAGCTGCATGCTTGCATTGCCTGCCAGCTCCTTCAGACCTGTGCTAGGTCTTGCTGCATAGGAACTGCCATGCTCATGGAGGACATCAGAACCTATGTGCACTTGCTCAATACCTGACTAATGGAAGACCAGGTTCTCCAACAAAGATTCTTTGACATTCTGTGATTACCATAAAGACTCTCTAGTTAGTGCAGAAAAATTTCTGACTGCTCTTTCCTTTCTGTTTTGTGGATACTCACAGCAAGGATATTCCTCTTTTACCTTTGGCCATCTTTGCCATACTTGAGCAACCTTTCCCATCAGTGTTTCATATATTCATTAACAAATTAACTTATTGATTGCTCTTTAGTATATTACACATAATGATTATCATCAATAAACATCTGAAAGCACATTTATTGATTGCCAGGAACTCAAATTGGCCTAAAAACACACATCAAAGAGACGCCCTCTGCTTTATGAAATCTACCGTTGTGTCAGTGAGCAAGGGAAGCAGAGGAACACTGGTTTGGTGTGGCGTCACAGGAGGAGATAGACTATGACATCGGAAAAGCTCCTGAAACACCTGCTTATTTTAAAGGACTGGTAGTGGTCAGTGAGACAAAGAAACCTCACCATGCTAATGTAAACACCATGAGAACTAGAATGTGATTCTAATGGCTGAAGCAAAGCCAACTGTGCAGGAACTGCAGTTACACAACTCCAGGTAAGTGGTTTATATTTTATCTTCAAAACAGAAGAGTTCCAAAAAGTTCTAAGCAGAAATGTGGAATGACCATATTTGCCTAATGCTACTAAAATGTCAGGTTATTATTATTATTATTATTTTTGTAATTGACATTGAACTTAGGCACCAGTCCCTCCATCAACAGCAAAGAAAAGCTACAGGCCAAACTCTTGCTATAGTTTCACTCAAGCCAATACTTCTTTCTTTGAATTTTTTTCTTCAACTGATTAACTATTTGTCCCTTCCAAACTCCTCTCCGGTGGCACCGTCTCCAGGAGCCATCTCAAACTCGCAAAGATTAAAGCAGTGGTCCCTTCCCTGGGTTCAGCAACAACCTGGGCACTCCCCAGACATTACCTAAATCCTTGCCCTACTTCTTTGTTTTCCTGGTTAGACCGTGGACTCCTCAAGCACCCATACCTCATCTTTAATCTCTACATCTATAGGATCACTACAGTTCTGGCAATGAATGTTGGTTAAGAATTAAAAGGAAAGGAAATAAAATGAAGTTCACTTTTATTTTCTCCAGTTTTTCTCTTTTCCTTCATCTCCTCTCAAGTATTACTGTTATTTCTCCCTAATCACCAATATCTCATCTTTATTCATCTCTTCTTAATTCCGATATAGAGAAAAACGTCCAGTATCTCTTGGGACCCAAAATATGGCAAACATCCAGAACTGGTACAATAGTAGCACAGGCTAAAGAGTTTGCTGCTCCTTACAATTGAAGGAAAGCAATAGGGCCCTGTTTTATCACGCCCATGTTAGTCTCCATTACACCTCATCTTCTGCATTTTAGCCAGGGATTTTTAACAGGCTTTGGCTTCATCTTGTGCTCCACATTAGCAGCTGAATAAACAGACTTTTTGCAACATCCTAGATAGAATGGAAAGCTCAAGGGGAAAGTCTTTCACATGTAAATTAAAATATACATGCACTCACAGCCATGGTCAAGGAATAACAGCACCTGAGAGAACTTGAGGGGAATTAAGCGTGCAAGCTGTAGAAAACATAGCTGATGCCCAAACTGGCAGCTGCCATTCTGAACAAGGCTAATCTGGGAATAACTGCAAACTTTCTTAAAAGAATCACAAGGGCCCAGTGTGATTGCTCAGTAGCTAAATCCTTGCATTGCAAGTGCTGGGATATCATGTGGATGCCAGTTCGTGTCCCATGTATTCCACTTCCCACCCAGCTCCCTGACAGTGGCCTAGGAAAGCAGTAGAGGATGGTCCAAAGTCTTGGGACCCTGCACCTGCACAGGAGACCCAAAGAGCTCCTGATTTCAGATCAGCTCAGCTGTTCCTTCCACTCCCCAGCCATGCAGCCTCTACCCAGAAGGGTTCTTGCTGATGTCTTCCTCCTCCTCTTCATTTCCTGTGGGTCTCTGCTTAAATATCACATTCTCCAAAATGCCCCCTGACTGGCAAAATAGCCAGGCTGGCAATTTTCCTTTTCCTTCCCTGCATTATTTTTCACCTGTTCACCTTGTTTCATTCACTTTCCTAGACCCAAAAATTAACAACAGTGCCTGATACATAATAAGTGTACAATAGATTTAAGTGAATAAACAATGATACAGTAACATCCATATGCTTACTGTAAGAGAAATAACACGATATGTAAGAAAGATTTGGGATTTTCTTACTGAATACTAAAAAGACTATATTTTTAGAAAACAAAGTGATTCACAGGTTCTGAGATTGTTGGAGCCAACAATATCACTCCCAACAACAACTATCATCGGCTATGTCTACATTTCACAACTGAAAGAAATGATGCAAGGCACAAAAAGGCTACTTTATTTGTTCATGATGCCCATGATGTTGGCTGAGAATCCAGATAGAGACATTAGAGGTGTTCTCATGAAGACGTGTAACTAGCCTTGGATCCAGGCTTTTCCAGTATAATGGTAAGTCTGGGAAGCATTCCAGAGAAGAAACAGAAGAAACCAAAAGGGACTGTGGCTGAAGCAAGGGCTTTTTACTAAAATATTGCAAGAGAAAATGTGAACAGGAAAAGTGATGTCAGATTGTTGAAGGTCCTAGATGTCACACTGAAGATAAATAAATTTAAATCTGTAACTTATTCGGAAGACACTCAAGCTTTACAACACTGGAAAACCATAAAATCATATACTGAAAATAATAAACTTGAAAGCATTTGTACAGATTTCTGAGAGTCAAATGCCAAAGAGTACTAATGAACCCCGTGGCATTTACTCAAAAATATAATAATGAGGATATTACTAGGAGTCAATCACTATAATAATTTCCCATGGTTATCACTATTAAATCCACAATAGAGAAAAGATGTTAGCTGAAGGACAGTTGGAGAACTGCAAACCATGAGAGCACCAAAACATTTCAACACACTAGCAGAAGAGAGCGTGCAACCCTGCCCCAGGCAACAAAGGGCTATGTTACTATTGTTACTTCAACAGCGGTGTCTCAGATTATTGGATTTCTCATCCAATTTCCCCTCTTCAAACACCCAGTGGTCTCTCCCTTGCAAAACCATTCCTCTTTACTCCATGTTAAGTCTGAATAAAAATATATAACAATCTTATGGGTTCCAAAATACCGAAATTCCTGCTTTTTTGTATGCAAGAGCAGAAAGAAGATAACAGATTATTTAACACACTCCAAGGAGAAAAAATAAAAACGTGTTACAGATGCTGCTGTAAGTCTTTCCATAGTATAATTCTATAATAGTATTTAACAAAATATAAGTTTTGGAACATAAGAAACTAGTGATTTAACTTTGGGTTCTTGAAACTAAATAACAAGGTAACACTTGTATCTGCTTAAGTTTTGTATTTTTTTTTTTTTTTAGAATCCACTCTTCTCAGACCACGGACATAATTTATTTAAACTGTCAAAGAGCTTTTGATAAGGTTCTCACAAGAGGCTATTATTGAAGTTGGGTAACCATGGTGTGAAAGGAAGAAGTCATATCAATGAATTAAATGAATTGAAAATGCTTGAGAAGTAAAGAGGCAAAAAGCAGAAATAAATAGGCAATTCTCATGTGAAGAAAGGTTAATCATTGAGGGCTCTGGGGTTTTTTGGTAAAATCAGAACTATAGTTAACTAATGACAAGGACAGAGATATCCAGTTCTTGTGCCCCATTCCTTGCGTAGCAAACCTGCACACAGAGCACCATTGATGTGAACAGCATTTGGCACATGGAGGAAATAGAGGCAGTGTGGAGAAGAACGGCTTAACAGCAGGAGAGAGCAAATAGATAAATGAATGTTACTTGAGCTTTTATAGAGATTTACAAATACAAAATGGAAAAGTAATGTAAGCAGCATTTTATTCTATAAAAACTTTGATATACACTACACAGAGACACGTGGGCCTTTTCAAAAGAACATATCATTTCAACAAAAAGCGCCTAATGTAGTGATATGATGGGACCAAATGTGCAATACTAAACAGCTCATGTGCACATTCTGATCAACAAAAGCCACAACGTGGATTTCTATAGAATAAAAAGACATTTAGAAACAAACAAAAGTGAATCTTGTAGGAACAATACAAGAATTATTACCCTTTTTTTCTTAATTATGGAAAGAAACTTATAAAACTGGTCCAGATTTTACAAAATCTAACTTGACATCAAATGCACAAATTAATTAACATTAATCTTTCTTGACCTATACCTAATCTGACATTTTAAATGATTCTGAATCATGAGCATGAGTCACAGGAGGGAGTAAAAAAAAGTCAACATACTCTTATTTCACTTCTCTTTGCCTTAATTTCTTTTTCTATGAAATAAGAAAAATTGAACATACCCCCACAAGATTATTGTAAATAAGTTATGTAGAACCAGTAGAAGTACAAAAACTGTCAGAGTATTATTATCATTATATACTCAACAATTACAGACCATGGAGAAGCAACCATGTCTGTCATTGTTACTTTATTATTTATATCATTGTTAAGACTCGGGAGTTAATAAAATGCTTTAATGCTTTCAAATGTTTTCTTTCCACAGGCCAATTTTGCAAAATGGAAAAGAATTAAACGCTTACCTAAATGTCTCAAAACAACAACCAAAAAATGGATAAATGCTTATCACTATAATTCTCAACTGCATATTACATCCAAGCTTACCGTGATGATAGTATTTTAATAAGCGCGTCTCTGTTCTGTACCCGAAGATGGTTAGTTTTATACTTGGAATCATCAATCAACTCAGGTAAACTCAGTATCTAAAAGAGAAAAACAATTTTACAGTATAATTCCCCAGTTTTTCCCCTTGAATCTCATCAGATCTATATCCTCCATACTCAAAACCATTCCTTCCTATTCTTTGTACCTTTCAATAAAATCTGAAAGGAATTATTACAGAATAAGGAAGGATCATGCTGATGAACACATTTGACACTTACCAGAGATTAATACATGTAAACATATATACCCACAAATTAGCCCATGCATAAACAGCTCTTAGACTTCCATAATGTCCTATACATACACATGAGAATACAGGAAAGTATTATCAGGTCCCCATAGAAAATGTCTTACAAGGGAAAACTGAGAGCTACAAAAAGCTCAAACTCAATCAGCTCTAAAAAAAAAAAAAAGAGTACTGTATATAACTACATGTTTATAGTTACATAAAGTTGACAGTCAACATATATCATGGTACGAAATTCACTCCTTTGTTCCACATGTAAATAAAATAACATTATCTGTCCCAGCTGCCCTTTCCAGGATGTTGTACAAGGTGCTAAAATAAAGGGAAATTATGTACATTAGCCCAAAAGCACAACATTAAAATAATGTCAAATTAAAAGTTCTTCTTCCAATGGAAGTGTCACTATTTTTCTGTAATATGTTCCCCTGAAGACATATCAACCAGAAATGCTTTTATATACTTCCTCTTTCGCTCCTCTTCAATAAAGGAAAAATCTATCTTGCATGTCCCTTTGGACATCTTGCAATTTTAACAAGATCATAATGAAAGTACCAAGTGGATTTGGAATTGAAAAGATTTTTTAAAAAGACTGTGTGGAGGCAGTGTTTGGCAGTTGTGTTGGAAAGTCAGAAAGAGCATTTATGGGCTGGGGGTAGGCCATGTGGCCTACAGAAAGCTTCCCTGCCTTTATTAATCTACTTGCTTTCAATATAAACACTTAATGGTTTCGTTTCTCACAGTTTAAATAAAATCAATCCATTAATCATCTTACAAAACAAAGAAAAGTGAAGATTCCCTGGAGTTTGGGGGCCATTTTGGTGGTATAATTTCTCTTTCACGTGCTCCACTTATTCATTTCCTCCAGAAATAATAAAGGTAGCATTATTCTACCCAGATTTTTTAAATGACACCACATATAGTGACCTTTCCAGAGCTTCCTTGTCACCACACCTGACCTCACAATTGGCTTCAAGCATGTCTACCAATCAGAAACCCTCTCTCCCTATGAGTAAATAAGTCATCTCCAAAAAAAAATCAAATGTCTTTACTAAGTTTTAGGTTAAGTTTATCAACATGGCCTAGCTCAGAATACACCATCAGTCACATAAAAACAAAACAGGGAATGGTTTTAAGGAGAGCTGAAATGCCACAGGACCTCTGTACTTGACTTCTATGATCTATTTTCTCTTTCAAAATTGGTGTGAAAAGTGGGTATAAAAACTAGGTATGTCAGGTAACATTCCAAATGCCTCTATCAAAGACGGTTTCAAGGACTGTGATCATAACCATTCTTTGGGTGCTTCAAAGGAGTATAGTTTTGGACAGAATGAAGTACTGTATGAGAGAATGCTTGACATGTTAGGCACTGGAAAAAAGCAAGGTATTCCAAGTAGGTATTTTTTTACCCAAAAGAAATTAAAAATTAAAAAGTATTCAAATAAGGAGCAATATGGGAGAGGGCTCACTTAAAACAATGAAGACACATAATAGCAGATACTGCAAAATGCTTTAACACCATCATCTAATGCCTGTCATACAGTGAAGCCACAATTACTATGATACCCTAAAAGCATCTACACATCCCTCAGTGCTATCTAGCTTTGTTCATTGCTTCAAGCATGTCAGCTTCTTGCTGGGCCATTCCGTCCCAGATCAACCTGAAGACATTGACAACAACTACTCCCTTAACTGGAAACTCTCCCACCAGATATCAACTCGGCCAGCTCCTTCTTTCCTTGAGTCTTCTCTAAATGCCAACTTCTTAACTGAATTATCCTGACTACCTTATCCTCACCAGAAGCTACTCCACCCTACTTGTCCATTGCCAGGTTTTAGGATCCACTGCACTTAGGTAAAGGAATAACTGGAAGAAATGCATTACTCCTTTAGAGGCACCTCAAATGCTAATACTTTTCCCCAAGTCTCCTAATAGTTACTTTTCAGAATCCTTGAACAGCTGCTCCATGCCTCCAGCCCAGGTGTTCGCTATGCTCAAGCAAGGGATGAGAGAAGAGTATTTACATTCCTCCCCAATATCTCCACACCCAAAGTATATAGAAAGCATGTATTAATACACATGATAAGCCAGACCTATACAAAGATTTTATTTAGCTGTTATGAAACTCTACACTTTAATTCAAAAGTTCAAGGCAAACAGAAGTAAAAAAGTGATTCACTAATACGAAAACAAAAATGAAATCTATGCAGAATTTTTCATAATATGTGTTTTCCGTAAGCTTTTCTGAAGACTTCTCAGGTATATTCGTGTAACTTTTTAAAGAACAGATTTCTTTACCTGAAAGACAGAGTTACAGAGAGACAGAGGGAGAGACAGAGAGTTTCCATCTGCTGGTTCACTCCCCATATGACCACAACACTCAGAGCTGGGCAGATCTGAAGCCAGAAGCAAGTAAATTATTTCAAGTCTGCCACATGGGTGCAAAGTCTCAAGAACTTGGACCATTCCATGTTGTCTGCCCAGGCACCTTAGCAGAGCACTGGATTCAAAGTGGAGCAGCCAAGACTCGAGCTCATGCCCATATGGAATGCTGGCACCACAGATGGTGACTTCACCCATGATGCCACAGTGCCAGCCCAAAAATGTTTTATAATCTTGATTGCATATGCAAGGAAATAGAGGCTTAGAAATCAGTAAGTAATTTACTAGAGGCAAACTGATTAGTGACAAAACTCAGATATGTGGAATTTTTGCTAAACCATCTTAAAACCACATACTCTAAATAGTCAACAACAATGAATATTAGAATTGAAGTTTCCTGTGACCTACCCAGACACATAAATTAATCCCTTTGAGAATGGGCACCAAGGAGAGTCCCATCCATATTAAACTTGACAATCAATGCTTATTGCTTCCCAAATAAGAAGCCTCCATTTTAAATGACTTTTAATAGGATGCCAATATGCTTCAAGAAGAAATAATCATTAGTGTTAGAATCAATCCACTTGAGATAGCTTACACATGCTCACTTTCTTTACTCCTCTGCACCATAGGAAAAGACATAAACGGAATTTGTTACAAACCAAGATGCACTCACTTTAGTCACCCAAGTATTTTCTAAGCCCTAAACCTACAAAACATCTACATTCTTGCTCCTATTACACTTGTAACAATAAGAACTCCTTTTCCCAAGAACTGGTAGACTATCACAATATGAAGTTTCATTCTGTAACAAAACAAAGCATGGGTAATTTCCATTTGTTCACCAAAGACAATTCTGACACATTTCTTTAAGGGAGGTAGAGTTGTTCAAGTCTTCCTAAGGACTTTACTCAGCAAGCTCAATTTTAATGCACTTGCATTTAAAAACAAACAAACAAAAAAAAAAACCGCGATGTTGCAACACACTGGGTTAATCTGCCAGTTGCCATGACCATATCCCATACCAGAATCCTGGTTCCAGTCCTACCTACTCCTGCTTCTGATCGAGCTTCCTGAAAATGCAGCCTGAGAGCAGAGAATGGCTCAGACACTTGAGCCCCCGCTACACACCTAGGAGACCTACATGGAGCTCTGGGATCCTGGCAGCAGTCTAGTCCAATCATAGCTATTGTGGGCATTTGGGCAGTGAGTCAGAGGATGAAAGCTATCTTTTTTACTCTCACTCTGCCTTTCAAGTAAATGAAAATAAACAATTTTTAAAAACTAGGGAACTCATCTTCTATCTGATGAGTTTGAACAAAGACCTCCTCACATAAAGCTAAATAAAAATACTTGGAAGAAAGTTATTCACTATATATAACAGGGATGAAAGCAAACTTTGCATTGGAACAACAAAATATGATTTTTCTAGGATGAGAAGGTGTTTAGAACAAGTTTACAAGTAAACATGTAACTATACAGATTGAAAAGAGTTGGGGATCTGGCACTGCAGCATTGTAGATTAAGCCTCAGTCTGCAGTTCTGGTATCCCATAGGGGCACAGGTTCGAGACTTCACTGTTCCAGTTTCAATCCAATTCTAATCCAATTCCCTGCTTATGACATGGGAAAACATCAGAGGATGATGCTTGGGCCCCTGCACCCAATGGGAGAACCAGAAGTTCTAGGCTCCTGGTTTCTAACCAGACCCAGCCCTGGTTATTGCAGCCATTTGGGGAGTGAACCAACAATTGGAAAATTCTCTCTCTCTCTCTCCTCTCTCTATCTCTGTAAATTTGCCTTTCAAATATAAATATTTTTTAAAAGATCGAATAGGTCATCAGATTGCAATATTCATTCAGGATGTCTAGTAAATATGCAACAATGCCATTCATAAAGGCTTTCAGTCTCCCTTTCTTTAAAAATGGGCAAACTCGTACCATAACAATAAGTAAAAATTTAGGTCTAAAATTTATAGCAAATATTCATCTTTGGAACAAAAATCTTCTTCAAAAATTTTATTATGGATATTTATGAGGAAGCTCAAAAGTTTCAAATCGATCAGCAGTAATGAATCAGAAATAAAAAGAATTCAGTACAGTTATTTTCAACATTGAAGAATATGTCAAGCAGTAATCTCCCCCCTCAATCCCCACACCACCACCACCCTTTTTGAGAGAGAAAACTCCAAAACATATGGCCCAGGAAGAAAATCTGTACTCATTTATAGCAATGAACTGGCTTTTACATCTTTGCAGTTAGAGTACGCAAATGACTTCACAGGCAACAGCTTCCGTATGTTTCATATTTTTAACATTGACCGTTCATAATAAAGATTCTTTGATCCTAGATCAAATGTTTGAATCAATTTTCTCTACACTCACTGAGTCACCATTATGAAGCCTCCCCACCTTCCCACCTCAGATGTTTCAACCCTTCCTGCAATCGTCACCTTCTCTGTGGCACTTCCCACCCCTCTGCTGGGGTTTTTGGCTCTGATTGTTAACCCCTCATACAAAGGCAGCACAGTAATGAATAATCTTTGTGCATAATAAGTTAACTACAATAAGTAAGGCTTCCCTAAGGGACTCACAGGCATCTCTAATATTTACTGTTTGGTACAAAACTTAGTCCTTTCCAAACAGAAAAAAATTCTCAGTAAGGGCAGTATTTGCCTAACACATAAGAAAATAAAAATCAAAACACAAACATATTTTAAAACAATTATCTGGGATGAAAACAAGAAAAAAATGAACTGATCCATAAGGCCCTAAATAAAATAAGAGATGGAAAATCCATGGGGAAAAAAAATCACATTAAAAATGTGTATGCATGTGCTCACTTCAGCAGCACATACACTAAAATGTCTATGCAGGCCACGCATGAATGCTCAACTGGCTAATCCTCCACCTGCAGAAGCCAGGATCACATGTGGGTGCCGATCCATGTCGCAACTGCTGCACACCTTCCAGCTCCCTCTTTGTGGCCTGGGAAAGCAGCAGAGGATGGCCCAAAACCTTAGGACTCTTCACCCACATGGGAGAGCTAGAAGAGAGCTGGAAGAGAGCTGGGTTTAGATTGGCTCAGCTCTAGGTGTACAGCCATTTCGGAAGTGAATTAGTGGATGGAAGATCTTTCTGTCTCTCCTTCTCTCCATAAATCTGCCTTTCTAATAAAAATCAATAAATCTTAAAAGAAAAAAAAAAACTCTATACGAGCTTTGTGTGGTGGTTACCAAGCTAATGCTCCACCTGTTAGTGCTCACATCCCACAGGAGCATCAGTTCATGTGCCCACTGCATCACTTACAATCCAGCTTGTTTATGGCCAGGGAAAGCAGTAGAGGTTTAATCAAATCCTTTGGCCTCTACATCCATGTGCTCCCAACTTTGGATTGGCTCAGCTCTGGCCATTATGGCCATTTGGAAAGTGGACCAGAGATAGGAGTCCTTCTCTCTTTCTTTCTGTATAAATTATGCCTTTCAAATGAAAATAAACATTTTATTTTTAAAAAGTCTATGTAACACTGTAAGTTAAGATTATCCCTACAATAAAATTATTTTAAGTGATTTACAGTCCTTCTTAAAGTCTTTGCTGAGGAGCAACATTTGTAAATAATCTTAAAATGTAAATTTTTCAAGATGATACTTATTAAAATGTTCATTTTAATAACATTTTAAATTTCTAGTGAGAGTAAAATAAACTTAGCAGTATCAACTACATAACTAAAATATACTTAGGGCAAATTAAACCTGGTATGTTTAAAGAAATTTAAAAAAGGATGATAATCCCACAGTTAAAAATGCACCAAAAACGCATTTTTGTCTTCCAGTTTTCTTTATGCCTTCATATACAAAAACTTAACATGCAATTATTCTTTATTTTGAAGTACAGATAACACAACAGTTAAAAAGAAATCAAATTCTAACCCTTCCCTTATTAATTGTAAGTTTTACAATGGCAATCTTGCACCAGCTAACCCAGGAAGTTAAAGCTGGCTATTGACCCAGCATTACGTTCAAGAAAAACAAATTTCTCACTGGTTTGGTGGAAAATGAATTATTGCAAGTATCATCTCCCCATGCCAATGTTTGCACATTACCTTACACACGGTGGCGAACTGCTGGTTATTTCCTGCTCCGACTACAATATAGCCGTCCTTGGTTTTAAAAGCCTAAAATAAATGCATAAACAAATATGCAAATAGATATTTACATGTTGACAAGATCACAAAATTTGGCTATAATTTAGGAAATACAAACATAAAAATCTTATGCTAAAGCAATGCTAATAATTAATTCAATATCAACAATTATTTTTCCCTTTTATTTGCATAATTGTCTTATTTTATTTTTATTACTATAAAGAGATTATATGTATTCCATAGGCAGAGTTTCAAGAAGATAGCCCACTTCTCTTACTCCACTAGAATTTTCAAAATACTTGCCAGCTCTTCTACTAACTCTTACAACAACGAAAAAGGTCATTCCAAAAAATAATAATAATAATAATAATAATGGATTTTGATTACCACTCACAATGTGAATTTCTATGTTCATTACAGACTAAATTAATGTTAATTTTTCAGTTTTTTATTTCATTTTTTATAATGCAAGGAATATTATAGGGAACGCATTATTTTCTACAAAGTATTAAGAGTAGATGAAAAAAAAAGCGGCGGAGCTACAAAGGAAAGGACACAGGAAAGGGAGGAAAAAGGAAGTAAGAAAAGGGAGAGGAAGGAAGCTGTGGGAACATTTGCTTGCACATCTCACATGGAGCCTTCGAAAGACCAGCTGGCATAGGATCTCACTGGACATTATGCTGTGCATGCTGCTCAGAGCACCTGTCCCTTCTGGAGACAACAGACCTCGAAGTGATTGCCAGTCTTCATCCAGAGAACACCTCAGTATGACTTTGTCTACACACCATCTCTAATAATACTGGAGAAAAACAAAACTTCACCCCCGTTTTTTCTTTCTCAAAATCAATGAGAGCTTTGAAATTCCTTTCTTTCCATGTGAAAATTACTCTTGTCATATCCTAACTCACTTCTCTTCTACTTCTGCCTGCAGGAAAGTTATCATGTGTCCCCCTTGGCAGATCTTATTCCTTATTGATACTCATACTGCTTTTTGCTCATGACCTCTGACTCTACTCAATCATCTTTAACCTCTGCATTTCTATGGAATCCTCTTCTACTTGTAGGCTCCTGCCTCTAGTGAAAAAATCACTAACAGAAACAAAGCAAAATATATATCAGCCCTAATGCCCCTCGCATATTATATTGAACTTATCTTCCTTCCCCTGTCTTTAAAAGACATAAATATGTCAACTGCCTATACGATTTTTCACTGCCACCACATTCCAATAGCCTTTTTCTTCGGGATTCTTGTCACCACACTAACACTATATTTTCTCTGACTCCTATATATCATTTGGTAGAGTTGACATTCTGTCCTTCAGGAGGTTAATCTTATTTCTAACCTATGTCCAAGTCCATCTCTTGTCTCTGACCTGTTTTCTACTTGCACTTTTGGGAGGATTTCCCTCTCTTTAGTATTCAATATACCTAAGCATCTAGCTTTGACATTTTCCTTCATCTGCCTCTTAGTTAGCATTATCCACATGTGGCTACTAAAAAAATAAATAAATAACATTAAAATAACCAGTCATAAAAGACCACATATTGCTGTTGCATTTGTGTAAAAAGTACAAAATAAGCAAATTCCTGAAGAGAAAAAAGATAATAGCCATCCGTGTATGGAGAAGTTGGGGGAAAATTGAGAATAGCTGCAAATGAATATCAGATTTCTTACGAGGAAAAGAAAATGCTAAGATTGATTATGGTATAGTTGAAACACACTGAATACACCAAAGGTCATTAAACCATCGACTTTAACTTGGTGATTTATATTGTATATCAATCATATTTCCATAGAATTGCTATTTTAAAATTAAATCAACAGTTCAGATCCATATCAACAGTAGCTTTGTGTCAACACATGTGGCTACTAGTTGTTTTATTAGGCATTTAATACATTTTTGGTAAATGTTAATGAATCAATCAAATATCTGCTTCCAACGACAGAATTTTGGCTAACATGGATCTCAGCAAACATGACAATAATGCTTTATCTTTTTTCAATGTGGTTTGCTTCAACAAGGGACACTATTCAGATATTGTATCAACTACATCTTACTTACGCAATGTCTTATAACACAATAGCATTTCCCAAAATATTGAAAAGGAATTTGCAACAGAACTGCACATGATGTATCAAGAATTTTGAGCACACATGTTTCAACTAACCATTGATATCTATAGAACACAGAAGTTGTTGATTTGGTTGCTTACTTTCTGGTGGGAAAGGTTGAGGTTGGAAGTAGATAGTGAATGTGAAGTAAAAATAAAATAGAAAATAGAAAAATATGAAGTCGGGGTGAATTTTGGAACAATATTGTGGTCAATAAACTTATATTTTCAGCAGTCATGTTAGCCTCTGCCAAGTCATGAAATACAATTTTACCAATATAAAAATTGAAAAATTTTAAATAACCAGTCATTGTCCAACAGTATGTGAAGACTTTGTAGCATCTAAGCTACCAAAATTTAAACAAACTAAAGATCACAAAATAGATTTCCTAAGGATTAAATTAAAATTATGATTTCTTTTTTTCATGTTACTATTTCTACAGTGCTATATAATAAATGAATTTTGCCTAAAATATGTTTAAATATGTTATCTGTATAAAAGACTGGGCAAGTGTACATAAGAAATATTAAGGAAAATTACTTATGATAAATCACTCAAAAGAAACAACTCTTAATATAGTAGGGTATTTGTATGACCCTTGTGTTAATTTTTACATAATCAACACCTTACTATATTTCACAATCTCTTGAGGCATTGTTTTCAAAGAATAGATATATAGGGCCCGGCGCGGTGGCACAAGTGGTTAAGATCCTCCTCGCCTTGCACGCCCGGGATCCCATATGGGCGCCGGTTCTATCCCAGCAGCCCCGCTTCCCTTCCAGCTCCCTGCCTGTGACCCGGGAAGGCAGTTGAGGACGGCCCAAAGCTTTGGGACCCTGCACCCACGTGGGAGACCCTGAAGAGGCTCCTGGCTTCGGACCAGCATAGCATCGGCCGTTGCGCTCACTTGGGGAGTGAATCATCGGACGGAAGATCTTCCTCTCTGTCTCTCCTTTCTGTATATCCGCCTTTCCAATAAAAAAAATAATAAAAATAAATCTTTTTTAAAAAAAGAATAGATATATATGTTTCAAAATTTGGTTAAACATTTTCTGCTCATTTAAACTGAAAGAAGGTAGCTGCTTTATGCTGACTTTAAATCAAGTCATATACCATACAGTTCACATCAGAAATTATTTAATTTCACTGAAACTCTAAAACAAATTGTCTCATATAATTAACATTTTGAAAAGCCATTCTCACCCTCTAATAAAATATGTCAAACTTGGTAGCAAAGTGAATCCACGATCTACCACAAGCTTAACGCACATGACAATGAGTTACATACTTTCAGGACCTATTTTTACTTTCACAAAAGAGGAAAAATCAAATCATTCATTAATTTTAGAATTATAATAATGACTATATTCACAAACTGTTTATTCATTTCTTTCACAAATACTTAACATTATCTATTCTGCAGACTTTAATTAAGATAGGTAGAAAACGATAAGCCAGATGGCTCAGATCCTTCACATGAGAATTACATTCTAAGAAAGTAGCAGACATTAATCAAACCACCACACAAATAATCGCAGTGACAGAAACTAGAATGAAGTATGTCAAATAAGATCTTCTAATAGGTGGAACTGCTCTTATCTTGGTTAAGAGATTTCCCACATGGTTTCTGGGCTGGGATCTAAGCATACACAGGCTTTGATAAGGCAAAGAGCTGAGGGAAAAGGAGAGGATTGCTGGCAGAAGGAAACTCAAACAGCCTGTGGCGGGAAGAAACAACAATTCATTAGAAAACGAGAGGAAAAGCAGCTGTAATGTAGGGAGGGAGCCAGATAAAGTCAAAAGCCATGTGAAGTATATTATTGTGAAGCTAATGAGAAGTCACCAAAATGACTTGACTTATCCATCATACTCCATTTTGAAAAGACTTGTCCAGCTGTGATGAAGAGAAATGATTGGAGGGTACATTCAGAAATGAGATGATAATTGGGATTATCCCAGGCAAAGACATTGTCCTAGGGTTCTGAAGATAGAAATGGAAAGAAATAGATTCAAGAAATATTTAGGTGGTCAAACCTATTGGAGTTGATATAGAACTTAACACAATGGTCCAAAATTGAAGGCTGAGGAGATGGAATACATCGTGGATAATGGTTAGACTTCTAAGAAACTTTTACAATTTTCCACCAGAAATTTCAAGTTAATAGGGCTTAAGAATCAGATGAATATCCGTACAATACATAAAATCTTGTGAGTCATTTGCTTATTATGTATAACTGAATTTGACTCACTTTCTCCCCACTCTGGAAGGCCACTCCTTTTTAAAGTCTGGGGGAGGGGGAGAGGGAGAGTGGTAACCAAAGAGTAAAATTGCTGAAGAGTAACTATAGGATGGTCTGCATTGCCTTAGCTGGATCTAAGATTAAAAACAGGTAGGGGAGTGGATAGATCACCTGTAAAATTTGGTTGTGAGGGAGAATAATAAGCAAAGTTCGAGAGCATGGCATGAGCATGGTGCAGAGGCAGGTCCGCATGTTCACTGGCGGTGAGAGGCTGAAGACGTTCCCACTGGATGCTATGACTCTTATGAATAAGGCAAATATGTAATGCCAAAAAACGTTTTCAATGGAAAAAAAGTGGAAAAGCTCTAAAGTATCATGAATGAGAGTGAGACAGCAGTATAAAAACAGAAACATAACTGGCATAACAAGGTGGTGAGAACCTAGTTCAAGGATTTTCTCCATCATTTATCAGTTTTCCATACATAGGATTAATGGTATCTAGAGTTTGTCAGGTGGATATGACACAAAAACAGAGGCAGAAAAATTTAAACACTCTCCAGAATGAGAAATGAGCCACGGAGCATCTCTATGGAAGAAGGTGCTGAAAACAAAAGATCATATTTAGGGCAAAGGGGGACACATCAGGTGATTCTGAAGTCTTGATGGAATCTAAGAAT